GCTACTCTAATTCCTTTGGCTTCAAAGTCATCAACAGTAACTTTTAAAGAGTTACTTTAAAAAATTAAAGGAACTGGACTTAATTTCTGAAGTTCTTTTTAGTTTTTTTTTAAAGATTTTATTTATTTATTTTTAGAGAGGGAAGAGAGGGGGAGGGAGAGAAAGAGAGAGAGAGAGAGAGGGAGATCAATGTGCGGTTGCTGGGGGTCATGGCCTGCAACCTAGGCATGTGCCCTGACTAGTAATTGAACCTGTGATGCTTTGGTTTGCAGCCCATGCTCATCCACTGACCTACGCCAGCCAGGGCTCTCTTTCTAGTTTTTTTAAAAAAATACTTCTAATTAAAAAATATCTTTTTAATTAGAAAAGACTTTGAAATACTGAGTTGAACAAAACTCCTCTTTAAAATATTTGGGCCACATTTTTCCTAAAATATTTTCTATATAGGACAAAAAACCTAGGTATGTCACATGCATTTGCCACTGAAAAGATAACTAAATAAAAAAAATCTGACCATCTTTATGCCAAATACTAGGAAGGAAAGACTGGCACATGGAAAGAACTCCAGGTTTGTATTTAGAAAATGGGGTTCAAATCCTGGCTCTTCTTTAGTACTTCTATGACCTCAGGTAATGTACTCTTTCAGCTTATTTCATCATCTGTTTTGTAGGAATTTAAAAAAATCCTCTTATATGGTTGTAATAAGGATAAAACAAGACAAAATGAAAGCATCTAGCAAAATGACTATTATCCAGTTTATTAATTATCCAATTTATTATCCAGTAGTTTATTAAACTACTCTAAAAACTACACTTTAAGCACTGGATTACAATTTTCAGCTTTATTAATGACGTTAGCAAATGTTGACCACTTAAAGCGATGTTATAAAATTAACTTCCCCCATTATTTAGGATTTGCAAGTTATGTGAGTTATCTTTGAAGGTAAAGTCTACAGAAGAGTTTATGTCTTTTTAGAGGAAAGTGACAAGTAATAAAAAGTACAGACCCAAGGTTAACAGCTGCTCCCCCCAACCTGGAAGTAGAGAATACGAGACTTAAAACACCAGTTTCAACTTAACCACATTTACTAGAATACTCATTTTTTGTCTTCCTGTGCACACTTGTTATCATAAATCCCAAGCTATCAGGAATTTTTAGGTTTCCAAGTTTTCCCTTTAACTGAAGATTTTTTGAAACTAACTTTCTAATAAGAGAGAATATCAATTTTTAGAATCTAGACACATCTCAAACAAAATTCTCCTGGGAAAGAAAGTAATCTGGAATCTTGGGAAAGCTGTTAATTCTCAACTCAATTATAAACATGACAAAAATAAAAGTAATTTTATATCAAACTGCAAGTGCCTATGCTTTCTCATATAAACTTTCAATGTTAATTTTAGTGTTTAGTATTTGCAATCTCAAATACTAAATAAAAGGCAAGTTATCAAGAACACTTGACGCAAGCCCTGGCTGGCGTAGCTCAGTGGGTTGAGTGTGGGCTGCAAACCAAAGCATCGCAGGTTCGATTCCCAGTCAGGGCACATGCCTGGGTTGCAGGCCATGGCCCCCCGCAACCGCACATTGATGTCTCTGTCTCTCTCTCTCCCTCTCCCTCCCTCCCTTCCCTCTCTGGAAATCTTAAAAAAAAAAAAAAAAAAAAAACCCACACAAAAAACACACAATGCAATAAGGGAGAAGAGGATCTCTGGAAAATATACAAAGCTTAATTTCAAGAAACCTGGTTTCTAGTCTGGACAAGTCAGTAAATCTCTCTGAACTTTCTCACCTCTTACAAATAAAAGCATTCTTCCTCCTTCCTCACGAAGATGAGTAATGAAAGCACTTTGAAAAGTTAGAAGTTCCATACAGTACAGTAACATCAATACTTATCAGGCAGAAGGTAAAGTGATTATTGTGCAGAAAGGGGGAGAGTGAGGATGAGCAAGACTGCATAGGAAATCTGGGTTCTAGACCCAGGCTGGCATCTACCAGCATGATGCAAGGCAATTCATTTGTCAGATCCCCATGAAGTCCCTTGGAGCTAGCTCCAAGACTAATTTTACGCTATAAATTTTAATCCAAGGCCTGAAATATTTGAGCCTCATTTATATACAATGACTCAGATACATCAAAGGTAAGGATAACAATACTCTTATGTTATACACATCTATTGTAGCTTATTCCCTTCATTTGGAAACTGGTGTCAAGTAGCCACTAGTACATTTCTAAATCTTTAAATGCTCAGATTAATATTAAAATGAAAGTGAGTAATATTTACACTATTCTGGAAACCATAAAAAACAGGCCTGCCCTGGCTGGCATAGCTCAGTGGATTGAGCACAGGCCGCGAACCAAAGTGTTGCAAGTTCGATTCCCAGTCAGCGTACATGCCTGAGTTGCAGGCCATGACCCCCAGCAATTGCACATTGATATTTCTATCTCCCTCCCTTCCCTCTCTAAAAATAAGTAAGTAAAATCTTTAAAAAAAAAATAAAAAAATAAATAAACAGGCCTAAGGAAAGAAACATACTCCAAAACAAGATGTGCTGATACTATTATGCACCAAAATAATTTTTAAAAGATTTTATTTATTTATAAACAAGGGACAGGAGGGAAAAGAGAGGGACAGAAACATCAATGTGTGGTTGCCTCTCACACACCCCCTGCAGAGGACCTGGCCCAAAACCCAGGCATGTGCCCTAACTGGGAATCGAACCTGCGACCCTTTGGTTGGCAGGCTGGCACTCAACTACTGAGTCACATCAGCCAGGGCCTGTTTGTTTTTAAAACAAGGCTAATTATTCTGATATCAATGTCAATCATTATTTTGTTAAGTGCCCTCAGGTACATAGGTCTTCTATTATACCTTGAAACAAAAGCACTTCCCTAAGAGGACTTTTTTAATTGAAAATTTAACAAACCACCAAACTCAAGTTTAATTATTTCTGCTTTATTTTTGGTCATGAGTGTATTAAAGACTTAAAAATAGTTACAAAGAGCCTTTATCACTAAAATATATAATAAAACACCAAGTTGCTTTGAAATTAATCTTTTGAAAGTGACCAAAAAAAGCCCAGAATATATTAACTTCTTCAATTAGGAGCAAATAAAGTTAAAATCATTTTTAACAACGTACTGAGCAAGAAAAAAGTGCAGAAATCCCAATGCCTCCAAAAATCTTACAGAATGCTTAATAATATATTTGTCTCCATCTGGTGATATTAAAAATCCAGTTTTCAAGCAAAATAAAGTCCTATTCGTGTTGCAGTATCTAAATCTGGTAACAAAAATTCAGGCGTGAGTTTAAAAAAGTCACAACAATCAAAACCTAATGAACTTAAGTTAAAAAGCCAAGAATAGTGATAGTCCAATTTCACCAGAAGACAGAGATCTAATCCAGATGAAACAAATATTTGATATTGTCTATTTCACCTGATCCTAAACAAAACATTCTACAAAAATTGATGGGATACCTCAGGCAATTTTTAAGGGGGGGGGGGGATGCATACTGTAACCTGAAATTATCTGTTCAGACTCCCTGCCCAAAAGTCGGCAAAACTCCTCCTGGAGGCGATGGTGAGTAATCAATCAGAGATGCATGTTGAACTAAGAAGGCAGAGAAGCAGCCGGGTAGTTAGAATTCTCCACATGCCCACCCTGAGCACAGGGTGTGCGGTTCTACACCACCACCAGTTGGAGACCGATGGTCTAGTCGGGAACAGAACGGGTTCCAAACCTCCCTTTAGAGATCTAGGCCAAAATACTTCCGTTTCTCACAAAACTTGGAATGAAGGGGAAACAACTGTTAACATTTTAAAACTAAACCTTTACCTATTTATCTAGTAAAATACTACGTAGCCACTTCCTTACATCGAAAACGTCAGACATCACGTGAAAAGTAGTATTTATTTGCAAATGATCTCCTGAAGGCCTCAACAGATTGACTTAAGCCACACCCCTCCATAAATGGCACATTCCATACAATAGCCAGGAGGACGGCAAAGGGCGATTCCACCGTCCGCGGGATAACAGCAAACTTGTTGAAATTCTCCGAATAAAGTCTAACGATTTACTAAACCTAACCCCTTTATTATTGAAGTTATTCAGGGTAAAGAGAGGGTTACAAAAACATCAAGACGTGCACTCTGGGTGAGTAGAGAGCTCTGGGGAACCAGAACCACAGGAGATATGGGTCGTGCTGTTAACCCGCATCTCCCGGAGGAAGGACATCTCCTCTAGGAAGGTCAGGGAAATGGGCGAACTCGGGAGCTTTGAGACCCTCAGAATTCCGAGGTGGGTGAGAAGCAACAGTCATCATTTCCCAGGGCCCGTTCTGAACTCTTTAGCCAGAGTGGGAGAAGACCAGCCCCGCCCACACCCCGTTGTGGGAGGCGGGGCCGCGGGGTAACCCGGAGGACGGAGGCGGGGCCCTGTACCAGTACTGCCCTCCTCCTTGGTGTAGAACACCCGGTCCGCTGGAGAGAGTTGAGTCTCCCCCACCCTTCAACCTCCCACGCAGGCAGTGGGGGAAGGGGCAATACGGGTGTCTCCACTCCTCCTCACTTAAGGGCGAGGGGCCCCAAGCCCAGGTCCGCTGTTGCCTCCCCCAGGAGAGCTCCAAGGGGCTGTCCCCGAGGAGGTGGGGCCTAGTAGCGACACAGACTTCACACCCCTCCCCCTTCGGCCGCTGGCGGTTCAGGGAACACCCCGCCCGTTCCAGTGCAGCGGGCGGGGGAGGCAGCCGAGCAGTCCAGAGCCCTGCAGCGGAGTGGGGCGGGGAGAAGCGCGCATGGGCGCATGGCCGCACGGCCGCCACCCCCCGCGCAGCACTCCGCGCCAGCAAGGCCCCCAACGCTCAAGGGCGCGCTCAGGCCCCGAAAGGAAGGAGGCCACGAGAGGCACCGGAGACATCAGATTCTAGGCTTGAGTCCCCCACTCCTTCACCATACACCCCGCACCCACCTCTCCAACCCACTCCAGGCCTCAGACTCCGCACTGACCTGACAGGCCGAGACATGTTCGCTGTCGAATCAGGACCGAGTTGAGAAGCCAAAGACCAAGACCCCCCCCCCACCCCGCGCACCGGGCGCCCCACCCCCCCCAACTTCGGCCGAGGGGGCCGATACCGCAGAACCCCGAGCCGCTGGCTTCTCAAACTCCGCCGCTCCTTGGTTCAGAGACCCGTAATGAGACGAACCCCCCGCTCCCCCGTCTCTTCAAAATGGATGAATCAAACCAGCCGAAAATGCGCCAAAGCTGACGTGCAACCAAACCCACTAGGGCTTTTGGGCTCCTCCCCAAAACGCTGGGTTATTGGCAGCTTTTGCCAGTTGCGCCGAACTCATTAGTCCGTTTGAATCATCACGTCCCCCCAGACTCCGCCCCTCCCTTTGATAGGCCCTGCCTCCTCCATTGGGTCCTGTTAGTCAAGATGCTTTGAGAGTACACGGCCGCAAAACAAAAATGGTCGCTGCGCTGCCCACCCCCTGGTTTCCACTCCACAATTGCAGATTCGTTTTGGGTCACAGCTTGTTATGACTAGAAAAAAAGATTTATACGGGAGTCAAATATAACTTACTGTTAATTTAATTGTCTTTTATTTCGCCTGCTTGATCATCTAGAAACCACATCAATAGCAAAACCTAGGGAATAGGCAGCTGATTCGTCACTAAGGGGCTGCTTCAGAATTGGAGGGAAATTCCATAGGTTCAAAAAAATTGACCTTAAACCCATAAGCCCCTTTCCCTGACTTTAGCATTTAGCCTTCAAGGGCCCAACCGCTGCTGAAGCAGAGAGGTAGGATCATAAACAAAGAAAAACTTCTCCAATTTCCATTCTCCATTCTGGACCTTGAGATCCGCTTCAGGGTCATTAAAGTCCCAGTCTGGGACAGTACTTTGAAGGCCTACGGTTAGGAGGAGCATGAACCCTGTGGCCACAGAGTGCTTCGGTTTGAAGCTCAGGTCCACAACTTAATGATTGTATAACTTTACCTCTCTGTGCCTCAGTTTTCTTAAGTGTAAAATGGGGGGCAATAATACTTACCTTACAGAGTTATTAGGATTAAATAAGTCGATATATGAAAAGCCTCTAAGACAGTGTCTGGCACACAATACGCACTATGTAATGGCTTAAAGTTGTTAAGTTCAATTTTTGAAAGGTGACCTTATCCCTGGGTAGGGATAGGAGAGGCAGGCTGAAGACTCAAGTCAAATGACTTAGGGTAACCCAGATCATTCCATTAAAATCTACGAACGTTTGTTAGATACCTAAACTCGCAGAAGCTGAGCTCAGGACGCGGATGGCAACAACTAAAGTTTACCCCATCATTGTAAAATAGACTTTAATTACTGCCGCAGGCAGCCTGTTAATAACCAACTGAAGATATATGCCATAAACAAACAAACCCATCATTGTCTGCCCCCTGAAAGTCTCTGTAAAATCTGGGTATTTTAAGGGAAGAGAATAAATAGCACAGTACACCAGGGAAGCATTAAATTTCTTTTCTGCCTCTTCCGTGCCATTCCACTCTTTTTTCCTTGAATGGGTTTGTTGTTGTTGTAAAAAGATGCATAACATGAAATTCACCATTTCAACCATTTTAAGTGCATAGTTTAGTGGCATTAAATACATTCACATTGTAGTGCAATCATCACCTCCGTCCATCTCCAGAACATTTTCATCAAATCCAACTGAAACTCTCTTCCCATAACCTCTTTCCCCAGCCCCTGGCACCCACTATTCTATCTTCTGTCTTTACGAATTTGACTGCTGTAGGAATCTCATGTAAGTAGAATCATATAGCATTTGTCCTTTCGTGATTGGCTTATTTCACTTAGCGTAATGTCTCCCAGGTTCATGCATGTTCTAGCATGTATCAAAATTTTCTACCTCCTAAAGGGTGTATATTTTATTGCATATATATGTGCCACAATTTGGCTAGCTGGTAACTGTCAATGGACATTTGGGTTGCTTCTAGATTTTGGCTATTGTGAATAACACTGCTATGAACATGGGTGTACAAATATCTCTTTGTGACCCTGCTTTCAATTATTTTGGGTGTAAACACAGAAATGGAATTTCTAGATCATATAGGAATTCTACTTTTAGTTTTTTGAGGAATCTGCATACTGTTTTCCACAGCAGCTGCACCACTTTATATTCCCACCCAGGAGTACACGTGGGGTCCAGTTTCTCTACATCCTTGCTAACACTCACTTATCATTTTGTTTTTTTGATAGTAGCCATCCTGATGGGTGTCCAAATATATTTTAACTAAATATATTGTCATTCATATTATTGTCAAAATGCCAGTACAGAGAATGGGGTGGTGCAGTGATCATGAGTGACTTTGTTGGAGGCTATTTGAGTAGGGCAGATTGCTATTATTTTAGCAGGTACTATTATTTGGTTTTGGGAGATGAGGCAGGTATTCTTGTTACTTATTTATTAGGTAATAAAAAGGTCTGGCCATAGTCAATGTGTACAGCCAGGCAGAAAGTTCAGAAAAGGTCTTCCAGGCCCTGTCTTATAGTTTAGTACGAAGCCCAGTATACAGATGGCCACTGAATGAAGGCTCTTCTTCATCCAAGGTGAGGGTCATACCCTCTCTCTCTCCTTACCTCAACTTCGGCTAACATCTTCCCTCTATTTGTTTATTCACTCTGTTTTAACAAACACTCTTAGGAATGAAGTAAATTAAGACTTGAACTTATAGTTTACTTTTTGGGGGACAAGTATAGAATTATGCCACAAGAGCCCTAGTACTGTCTCCCTGGCTGCCAAGAGAACTTGGAATACAGTCTCCAAGGTCAGTTCCATCTAGCCCATTTCCAAATGATCTGGCCCAGGGAATCTGTTTCAACTGATTTGAAACTGAAGAAAAACACTGATTATGTGATAGGTTGGATTTTTTTTAAAGATTTTATTTATTTACTTTTGGAGAGAGGGGAAAGGAAGAAGAAAGAGAGGGAGAGAAACATTGTCTCTCTCTTGCCCCCGAATGGGGACCCAGCCTGAAACCCACATGTGCTCTGACTGGGAATCCAACTGTAAGCCTTTGGTTCACTGGCCATTACTCAATCCACTGAGCCACACCAACCAGTGCAATAGGTTAGATTTTAAAAGCACTGTTGGATATACCTGAAGGGGCAATACACATACTAAAACTTTGATAAATTATGAAAACAAAAAAGGCTCAGGAGACAGAAAAATCAGTTATTCCTTTCCCCTGGCAATGAGATTTAATGGCCTTTTAAACCCAATGCTTAATTTCTCCTGTGATTCTGATTATACAGGGTCTGGCAGAATTAACACCTGCTTGAGTGTGGTTGGTAGGGCAACAATATGGGTGTAATAATTTATAGTTTTAATTTGAACATTTCACCTAAAGCGTCATACGGTGTGCTTGAGTGTGATGTTGTTATGTTACAGAATTCCATGCTTATGATTTTGTAGTGAAAAATTTTGTAATAAAAAAGGGGTGTTACTTGTGACAGACCCTGTGTTTTGAGAAGTAGCCTTTTCCTTCTCTCCTGCACATGTTAAAGACAGTGAGTGGCAGTGCTGGGGTGGTAGGACTTATGTTTCTTCCCTATCCCTAACAAAGACCATTTCCTTCAAGTCTATGCTCTAGTAGCTGGGAGCAGTCTACAAATTTTTGAGTACTCTGTGCTGGGACCTCATTAAAGCCAGCCAACCAAGCCTAAAGACCGACAGACACTGCTTCTCCTGACCACTGAAACACAGAAAGTCACCTCTCTTTGAAGACCCTGTCGGGAAGTTAAAGAAAGCTCCTCCTATTTTGTTTTTGTTTGTTTGTTTGTTTGTTTTTAAACTTCTACCTTTACCCTGCTGACCTTCTGCCGCACTGTACTCAGCAAAAACGATGAGACAGAAGAGCTGTCTGGCTGGTCTTTCTGGAGCCCCAGAGGCCGAGTAGCCTGCCTGGAGGTAGGTTCATGGTTAAGGAGGGTGCTCTCTTGCCCACAGGTCAGAGCCAGAAAAAGGTTGGGCCCAAGTCAATCTAAACTTTTAAACTCATTTTCTCAAGTGTGTATGTCTTTGGCTCCAGATTTCCATCTTCCTGTCTACTTTTAAGAATGTTAAAAGATAAATTTAGGAGGGTTTCTGTTACTTAATCAAAAAAGAGGTACAACTTGACATCTAGTTTGAATTGAATTGAACAGAAGACTAATACTTCGTGTTTTTCTCAACACTGTTCTGCTTGCACCAATAAAATCTATAGAAAACTTGCCCTTGTAACACTGAAGGAGACAGAGTCTTATCCATCTAAACCACCAGCAAACATTGTGAAGTGAGCACTGCTGAAACGAAAGGCCCCAAAGTGTAACAAAAACAGCACTGATCTGGTCATCTTCCTGAGCACCGTGATTTACTATCTAGGTGAACTGTGGCAAATTTCAAAGTCCTGAACCTCAACTCCTTCATCTGTAAATTGGTAATAACTATGTCAGTAGGCATAATAACATAAAAAAATAGGCTCACTTGTGAGAGTAGCTTGTATACTGTGAGGCACTGTGGACAACAGAATGGATCACATTGTCTTCACATTGTTGTTCGTTGTTTTCCAACAGCTGGTTTATTCCTCCATCAGAACACAACCACAGTTAAGCCCTGGGAACATAGTTCACAAAGACTGCTCACTGCTCACAGCTCACAGCTGGAGAAAAAGTGACAATGAAAAAGACAATAGTCACCTTTCAACACTGAATGTCCAAGGTGTCGCTCTTTCTCCACCATCTCCTAATCCTTCCTGGAAAAGTAATCTATTCCAGTGACACCCAAGACTGGCGTGCATCTGGAACTACTGCTGGCCTCCCTGCCTCTCACTGAGTTCCTAATGGACATCCCCATGTGGGTGTCCACAAGCTCAATTTATCTATGCCAAACAAATCATCCCCCCTTACTCTCCTTTTCCTCACTCCCCACTTCGGTCAGCACTGTCTTCATTTCTGTCAGCAACATCTTCTTAATCACTTATGCTCAATTCCTTAGTGCTACTGACTCTGCCCCTACACCTCACTGTTAGTCTTTATCATGGAAACCTCTTGATTCTTTCATTGCATTTCTCAAAGTTATTTTTCACTTG